GGAGGGAGAGAAGTGGGGGCCCAGCCAGGGGGGCCCCCAGGGGGGCCCCCAGGCGGGGGGCCCCCAAGGGGGGGGCCCCCAGGGGGCCCCCCTGAACCTGCTGCCGCTGCCGGAGCTGCTGGGGCCCTTCGATGCTGCAAACTGCGAATGGAATAAAGACAAAGAAATAGAAAGACAAGTGAGGGAGGAGACTGAGGAGTTGAAGAGAAAGATCAAACAGCAGCAGCAGCAGGAGCAGCAGCAGCAGCAGCAACAGCAGCAGGGGGGGGAGACGCCCAATGCAGCAGCAGCAGCAGCAGCAGCAGAAGAGTGGCCCAACAGTGACGCGGCCGGGGCAGCTGCGCAGCATGCAAGCGGCAGCAAAGACGCTGCTGCTCTTTTGGAGCAACAGCAGCAAACCAACAATGTCCCTCTCAAGGGTCTCCTTTGAAGAGCCCTGTCCGGGGGGCCCCCAAAGGGTACTGAGGGCCTCCTGAGGGTACTGGGGGCCCACTGAGGGTACTGGGGGGCCCCAGCAGTCCATTGGGGGCTCCAAAAGGCTGCTGGGGCCATCCAGTATCCTCTGGGGGCCCCCGGGAAGCCTTGGGGGCCCCCAGGGGACCCGCGTTGCGGGGGGCCCCCAGGGGGGCCCCCAGATGCTCCTGGGGGTACACTTGGGGGCCCCTAGGAGCTGAACCCCAGGATGCCCCCAAGACATCTGGGGGGCCAACAGGATGTCTTGGGGGCCCCCAAGACATCCTGGGAACCCCAAAGGTCTCTTGAGGGCCTCCAAGAGGTCATGGGGGCCCCCAAGACTTCTTGGGGGCCCCCAAGATGTCGGGGGGTCCCCAGGTGTTGGGGGCCCCTTGAAGTGGTTGTTGGTTTGTTTTTATTTATTTGTTTCTTTAGTTGCATTTGAGGGGATTAGTTGGGGTGTCTGTACACCTGGGAAGGGTTTATTTGATTTCTGTGATTGGCTTTTCTTTGCTGCATCAGTTGCTTCTATTTGCTGCACTAATCCGCGCTAAACCCTAAACCCTAAACCCTTTCACTGCGTGCGCGGACACCTGATGCAAAAGTTATTCGAGATTTAGGGTTTAGGCCCCGCCGCCCCGGCCGAAGTTTTTTGCTGCAAACGAAACCCTAAACCCTAGCTAGGGTGTAGCTAAAACTAG